GGTGGGTACTTGAGTAGTCAAGGGACAATGGCGGGTACTTGTGTAGTCAAGGGACAGTGGTGGGTACTTGAGTAGTCAATGGACAATGGCGGGTACTTGTGTAGTCAAGGGACAATGGTGGGTACTTGTGTAGTCCAGAGACAGTTGTGGGTACTTGTGTAGTCAAGGGACAATGGTGGGTACTTGTGTAGTCCAGGGACAATGGTGGGTACTTGTGTAGTCCAGGAACAATGGAGGGTACTTGTGTAGTCAAGGGACAATGGTTGGTACTTGTGTAGTCAAGGGACAATGGTGGGTACTTGAGTAGTCAAGGGACAATGGTGGGTACTTGTGTAGTCAAGGGACAATGGTGGGTACTTGTGTAGTCCAGGGACAATGGTGGGTACTTGTGTAGTCCGGGAACAATGGTGGGTACTTGTGTAGTCGAGGAACAATGGAGGGTACTTGTGTAGTCAAGGGACAATGGTGGGTACTTGTGTAGTCAAGGGACAATGGTGGGTACTTGAGTAGTCAATTGACAATGGCGGGTACTTGAGTAGTCAAGGGACAATGGTGGGTACTTAAGTAGTCCAGGAACAATGGTTGGTACTTGTGTAGTCCAGGAAGAATGGTGGGTGTTTGTGTAGTCCAGGGACAATGGTGGGTGTTTGTGTAATCCAGGAAGAATGGTGGGTACTTGTGTAGTCCAGGAACAATGGTGGGTACTTGTGTAGTCCAGGAACAATGGTGGGTACTTGTGTAGTCAAGGGACAATGGTGGGTGTTTGTGTAATCCAGGAAGAATGGCGGGTACTTGTGTAGTCCAGGAACAATGGTGGGTACTTGTGTAGTCAAGGAAGAATGGTGGGTACTTGTGTAGTCCAGGGACAATGGTGGGTGCTTGTGTAGTCAAGGGACAATGGCGGGTACTTGTGTAGTCAAGGGACAATGGCGGGTACTTGTGTAGTCCAGGAACAATGGCGGGTACTTGTGTAGTCCAGGAAGAATGGTGGGTGTTTGTGTAGTCAAGGGGCAATGGTGGGTGCTTGTGTAGTCAAGGGGCAATGGTGGGTGCTTGTGTAGTCAAGGGACAATGGTGGGTACTTGTGTAGTCAAGGGGCAATGGTGGGTACTTGTGTAGTCAAGGGACAATGGTTGGTATTTGTGTAGTCAAGGGACAATTGTGGGTACTTGAGTAGTCAAGGGACAATGGCGGGTACTTGAGTAGTCAAGGGACAATGGTGGGTTCTTGTGTAGTCAAGGGACAATGGTTGGTACTTGTGTAGTCAAGGGACAATGGTGGGTACTTGAGTAGTCAAGGGACAATGGCGGGTACTTGTGTAGTCCAGGAAGAATGGTGGGTACTTGTGTAGTCAAGGGACAATGGTTGGTACTTGTGTAGTCAAGGAACAATGGTGGGTACTTGTGTAGTCCAGGAAGAATGGTGGGTACTTGTGTAGTCAAGGGACAATGGTGGGTACTTGTGTAGTCCAGGGACAATGGTGGGTACTTTTGTAGTCCAGGGACAATGGTGGGTACTTGTGTAGTCAAGGGACAATGGTGGGTACTTGTGTAGTCCAGGGGCAATGGTGGGTACTTGAGTAGTCAAGTGACAATGGTGGGTACTTGTGTAGTCAAGGGACAATGGTGGGTACTTGAGTAGTCAAGGGACAATGGTGGGTACTTGTGTAGTCAAGGGACAATGGTGGGTACTTGTGTAGTCAAGGGACAATGGTGGGTACTTGAGTAGTCAAGTGACAATGGTGGGTACTTGTGTAGTCAAGGGACAGTGGTGGGTGTTTGTGTAATCCAGGAAGAATGGTGGGTGCTTGTGTAGTCCAGGAACAATGGTGGGTACTTGTGTAGTCAAGGGACAATGGTGGGTACTTGTGTAGTCCAGGAACAATGGTGGGTGCTTGTGTAGTCCAGGAACAATGGTGGGTGCTTGTGTAGTCAAGGGGCAATGGTGGGTACTTGTGTAGTCCAGGGACAATGGAGGGTACTTGTGTAGTCCAGGAACAATGGTGGGTACTTGTGTAGTCCAGGAACAATGGTGGGTGCTTGTGTAGTCCAGGAACAATGGTGGGTGCTTGTGTAGTCCAGGAACAATGGTGGGTACTTGTGTAGTCCAGGAAGAATGGTGGGTGTTTGTGTAGTCCAGGAAGAATGGTGGGTGTTTGTGTAGTCCAGGAAGAATGGTGGGTGCTTGTGTAGTCAAGGGGCAATGGTGGGTACTTGTGTAGTCCAGGAAGAATGGTAGGTGCTTGTGTAGTCAAGGGGCAATGGTGGGTACTTGTGTAGTCAAGGGGCAATGGTGGGTACTTGTGTAGTCCAGGAAGAATGGTGGGTGCTTGTGTAGTCCAGGAACAATGGTGGGTACTTGTGTAGTCCAAGAACAATGGTGGGTACTTGTGTAGTCAAGGAACAATGGTGGGTACTTGTGTAGTCCAGGAACAATGGTGGGTACTTGTGTAATCCAGGAAGAATGGTAGGTACTTGTGTAGTCAAGGGGCAATGGTGGGTACTTGTGTAGTCCAGGAAGAATGGTGGGTACTTGTGTAGTCCAGGAAGAATGGTGGGTGTTTGTGTAGTCCAGGAAGAATGGTGGGTACTTGTGTAGTCAAGGGGCAATGGTGGGTGCTTGTGTAGTCAAGGGGCAATGGTGGGTACTTGTGTAGTCCAGGAAGAATGGTGGGTGCTTGTGTAGTCAAGGGGCAATGGTGGGTGCTTGTGTAGTCAAGGGGCAATGGTGGGTACTTGTGTAGTCCAGGAAGAATGGTAGGTGCTTGTGTAGTCAAGGGGCAATGGTGGGTACTTGTGTAGTCAAGGGACAATGGTGGGTACTTGTGTAGTCCAGGAAGAATGGTGGGTGCTTGTGTAGTCCAGGAAGAATGGTGGGTGCTTGTGTAGTCCAGGAAGAATGGTGGGTACTTGTGTAGTCCAGGAAGAATGGTAGGTGCTTGTGTAGTCAAGGGACAATGGTGGGTACTTGTGTAGTCCAGGAAGAATGGTGGGTACTTGTGTAGTTAAGGGACAATGGTGGGTACTTGTGTAGTCAAGGAACAATGGTGGGTACTTGTGTAGTCCAGGAAGAATGGTGGGTACTTGTGTAGTGAAGGGACAATGGTGGGTGCTTGTGTAGTCAAGGGACAATGGTGGGTACTTGTGTAGTCGAGGAACAATGGAGGGTACTTGTGTAGTCAAGGAAGAATGGTGGGTACTTGTGAAGTCCAGGAACAATGGTGGGTGCTTGTGTAGTCCAGGGACAATGGTGGGTACTTGTGTAGTCCAGGAACTATGGTGGGTACTTGTGTAGTCCAGGAACTATGGTGGGTACTTGTGTAGTCCAGGAACAATGGTGGGTACTTGTGTAGTCCAGGAACTATGGTGGGTACTTGTGTAGTCCAGGAACAATGGTGGGTACTTGTGTAATCCAGGAAGAATGGTGGGTACTTGTGTAGTCCAGGAACTATGGTGGGTACTTGTGTAGTCCAGGAACAATGGTGGGTACTTGTGTAGTCAAGGGACAATGGTGGGTACTTGTGTAGTCCAGGAACTATGGTGGGTACTTGTGTAGTCCAGGAACTATGGTGGGTGCTTGTGTAGTCAAGGGACAATGGTGGGTACTTGTGTAGTCCAGGGACAATGGTGGGCACTTGTGTAGTCCAGGAACTATGGTGGGTGCTTGTGTAGTCAAGGGACAATGGTGGGTACTTGTGTAGTCCAGGAACTATGGTGGGTACTTGTGTAGTCCAGGAACTATGGTGGGTGCTTGTGTAGTCAAGGGACAATGGTGGGTACTTGTGTAGTCAAGGGACAATGGTGGGTACTTGTGTAGTCAAGGGACAATGGTGGGTACTTGTGTAGTCAAGGGACAATGGTGGGTACTTGTGTAGTCCAGGGACAATGGTGGGTGCTTGTGTAGTCAAGGGACAATGGTGGGTACTTGTGTAGTCAAGGGACAATGGTGGGTACTTGTGTAGTCAAGGGACAATGGTGGGTACTTGTGTAGTCAAGGGACAATGGTGGGTACTTGTGTAGTCAAGGGACAATGGTGGGTACTTGTGTAGTCAAGGGACAATGGTGGGTACTTGTGTAGTCCAGGGACAATGGTGGGCACTTGTGTAGTCCAGGAACTATGGTGGGTGCTTGTGTAGTCAAGGGACAATGGTGGGTACTTGTGTAGTCCAGGGACAATGGTGGGCACTTGTGTAGTCCAGGAACTATGGTGGGTACTTGTGTAGTCCAGGGACAATGGTGGGTACTTGTGTAGTCCAGGAACAATGGTGGGTGTTTGTGTAGTCCAGGAAGAATGGTGGGTACTTGTTTAATCCAGGAACAATGGTGGGTACTTGTGTAGTCAAGGTGGGTACTTGTGTAGTCCAGGAAGAATGGTGGGTACTTGTGTAGTCCAGGGACAATGGTGGGCACTTGTGTAGTCCAGGAACTATGGTGGGTGCTTGTGTAGTCCAGGGACAATGGTGGGTACTTGTGTAGTCCAGGAACAATGGTGGGTGTTTGTGTAGTCCAGGAAGAATGGTGGGTACTTGTTTAATCCAGGAACAATGGTGGGCACTTGTGTAGTCCAGGGACAATGGTGGGTACTTGTTTAGTCCAGGAACAATGGTGGGTACTTGTTTAATCCAGGAACAATGGTGGGTGTTTGTGTAGTCCAGGAACTATGGTGGGTACTTGTTTAATCCAGGAACAATGGTGGGTGTTTGTGTAGTCCAGGGACAATGGTGGGCACTTGTGTAGTCCAGGAACAATGGTGGGTGTTTGTGTAGTCCAGGAACAATGGTGGGTACTTGTTTAATCCAGGAAGAATGGTGGGCACTTGTGTAGTCCAGGGATAATTTTATTTCGACATCTGACATAAAACACGTCAAATAATACCCATTATGTGCGGTGTTATTCTCAGATACGTTCTGTGACTATGTGGCGACACTATGTTGCGACACTACAAAGCCGCCGACAGCAGGGCTGAACAAACTCCTCACACGAGTCACGTTGTTGTTGCAGTCCCGGAGTACGAGATCGTCCACCCCGCACCCGTGACCGGAAGTCGTCATGCAAGGAAAAATGCGATCCCCCCACCCCCACTCAAGTACCGCCTGAAGGGTCGGATCCCCCCACCCCCACTCAAGTACCGCCTGAAGGCCTTGGGGGAGGAGTATGACCTTCACCTTGAACACAATCAACACCTGGTGGCGCCAGGTAATACAAGGGACATAACTCTCTAACTCAAAGTGACCAATATAAAGGCTTTTCCTTGGGCCATGCAGTTATATAATGGGCATTCTCAGATTGTATAAGACCTTCGATTCCAGGGAGATCGTAATAACGAACTGAAGTTCGCTGTATGTTTAAGTTAGGGATGCTTACCACTGATGCTACGTTTCCATGGTGACGGGTTGCAGGGTGCCTGGTGACGACGGAGGGTGGGGATCTGGAAACTGTACCGTGCCCGAGGGGGGATTGTTTCTACCACGGCCACTCAACATCCCACAACGACTCAACAGCAGCACTCAGCACGTGCAACGGTCTGGTAGGTCAACCATGTGATCTCGTGGAGCAACGTGAAATCTCGTGAAATTATACATCACCGTCTCTTATCGTTATTCTATATGATGAGTCAGAAAAACAGTGAGTGAGTGAGTGAGTGAGTGAGTGAGTGACATCAGATGCGACACAGTTCCCTCATCCGTCCGTTTTCATTACCACAGCATGGCATCATCAGCACCCCGTCTCATCAGCTGATGATTCATCCAATCAGAGACCAGCATCTGTCGCTAACCACGCCTCCCGGATACCCCGCCCCAACCCGCCCACACATCGCATACAGGGTACCCCTAAGGAAAAAGAGAAGCAGTGGGTTGCAAGGTAGGTATTAAGGGGTGTCGGGGAACAATTGGGGTATATTGACATGAGTCAACCCAATCAGCGAGCTTCACCACCCGATCCCGTTAGTCGACAAAGATAGCAGCCTTTTACGGCAATCATGGATTGCTAGGGGGAGGGGCGGGGAGGGGGGGGGGGGGGGGGAGCAGCTCTATGGCTAGTACATAGCTGACTACTTCTATGACAAGAGTATGTATGTCTGTTAATGACGCGTGTAGATCCGAGTACATCTGTGACGCGTGTATATCTAATATATATCCAGCTGCTGCCGACGCTCTGGTTCAAGCAGCCCCACGACGCATGCGCAGGCAAGCCGGCAAACGTTACATCGAGATGCTGATCGTGGCTGACAAGACGATGTACAACTACCACAAGGATGACCTCACTCACTACGTCCTCACCGCTGCCAATGTCGTGAGTCGACGCCGCTATCAACCAGCTTGTGTCGTTATTGGCGCCATGTCATCCCTTTGACAATAAATTCTGCCAACATTTGTCATTCATGTAGAAAATATTGACAGGCTATCATTTTATCAATTCTCGTCGTCACATATGACGACATTGACGTTTCAGTTATTCCTTTACAAATGGTAAAGTAAGCCAGGACGCGGTGTCAGTAAGAACATCACCATGTATATTCCCCCTGTGGGCGTTTCAGGCCGCCACCCGTTTCCTGGATCCCAGCCTCGGTCTGAAACTGTACCTGACTATCCTCAAGGTGAAGATTCTCAAGTCCGACCAGGTAACGCCAGGCACTGTGCATGTTCTCTCTATAATACCAGGCGTAGAATCTCAAGGGAAGCGTCAGACACTACAACATGTTCTCGCTATAACGCCAGGCATAGAATCTCAAGGATAGCGTCAGATTCTGCAACGCCTCCATCTCACAATAGATGACTAAATGTTGATGAAAGTATTTCAACTATTTCTATATGCCTGCGCACAAACGAGCTTGCATCAGCCATTGCTTCACCTCCGTGAGTGGCCTGTATAGACACTCGCCTATCAAGAGTCCGTCAGGCCCTCTAGCGGCGGTTTGGTCAAACAACGTTATGGCGTTTCTACAAGGGAGATTACTCTACGGCAATCAGTCATCGCGGCTGTTCCTATACACTGACCCCATGCTGGGAGTTATGTGTTTTTGACAAAGGCGTAGATCCCGTTTCTCAAATATTCACCAAAAAACATCATGCTCACCTTGACCTTTCGATTCTACCCATTCTACCTGACCCCCATATCTGCACCAGATGTCTTTGCAGTGATTAGATTAGTCTTACAGTTAACGTTGTTGTGGGTGCAGGCGGGCCTGAGTATCGTCCCTGACGCCGAGAAGACTCTCCAGAGCTTCTGTTCGTGGCAGGAGCCCCTCAACGCACGCGGAGACGACAACCCAGGGCACTGGGACACAGCCAGTCTAATGACCAGGTACGTCTTCGCCCTTCACGAACCGGGCAACCATCTGCTGTTTTGTATCATGGAAACATCCCAACCACTTGAGATCCCGATATGAAGCAAAGTGACTTTTTGAATTTCCAGCCGACTGTCTAAAAGAAAGTGTTAATTGTATTAAAGCAACGGAATAATTCGTAGAAAGGTAAAACTATACTACATGCCTCCTAAGGCGCGGTCAGGTAGCCTGGTGGTTCGCTCGTCACGCCGAAGACCCGGGTTCGATTCCCCCCATGTGTACAATGTGTAAAGCCCATTTCTGGGTCTCCCGCCGCCATACTCCTGGAATATTGCTTAAAGCGGCGAAAAACAATACTCACTCACTCATGTATCCTAAGGCAACACAGTTCTTGTCGCTGTAACAGTGACATCTTGCCGAGGCGATGTTCAGCATAACCTCACGTATCATCCATCACGGTTCTGGGTGACCTTTGTGACCTCTGTGACCTTTGCTACAGGGTTGACATTATCTACCTGGGGTCAGAGTCCGACACAGGGCTGGCGACCTTGGAGGGAATGTGTGGCGATAACAAGCGGTGCTCCGTTGTGGAGGATGATGGCCTTGATCTTGGCTTGACCTTGGCCCATGAAACAGGACACACGTAAGTATTTCATTGCTGGATGAAGAATACTTACTACACTGGCAGGTAACACACAAACACAAACCGTGTGAACGACTCCGTGAGACAGACGGTTGTGACGGTAACGGATCTTCCTCCACCGTTACTGTAGCTTGGACTGTAGATGACGTATTCTGTGTGTTGTAGTCTGGACGTGCACCATGACGTATTCTGGATGTTTTAGTCTGACATGCACCATGACGTATTCTGTATGTTAAAGTCTGACATGCACCATGACGTATTCTGTATGTTGTAGTCTGACGTGCACTAGGACGTATTCTGTATGTTGTAGCCTGGGTATGCACCGTGACGTATTCTGTATGTTGTAGTCTGACATGCACCATGACGTATTCTGTATGTTGTCTGACATGCACTGTGACGTATTCTGTATGTTGTAGCCTGACATGCGCCATGACGTATTTTGTATGTTGTAGCCTGACATGCACCATGAGGTATTCTGTTTGTTGTAGCCTAAGCATGCACCGTGTTGTATTCTGTATGTTGTAGCCTGACATGCACCATGACGTATTCTGTATGTTGTAGCCTGACATGCACCATGACGTATTCTGTATGTTGTCTGACATGCACCGTGACGTGTTATGTATGTTGTAGCCTAAGCATGCACCGTGACGTATTCTGTATGTTGTAGCCTGGGCATGCACCATGACGTATTCTGTATGTTGTAGTCTGACATGCACCATGACGTATTCTGTATGTTGTAGTCTGACATGCACCATGACGTATTCTGTATGTTGTCTGACATGCACTATGACGTATTCTGTATGTTGTAGTCTGACATGCACCATGACGTATTCTGTATGTTGTAGCCTGACATGCACCATGACGTATTCTGTATGTTGTAGTCTGACATGCACCATGACGTATTCTGTATGTTGTCTGACATGCACCATGACGTATTCTGTATGTTGTAGTCTGACATGCACCATGACGTATTCTGTATGTTGTAGCCTGACATGCACCATGACGTATTCTGTATGTTGTCTGACATGCACCATGACGTATTCTGTATGTTGTAGTCTGACATGCACCATGACGTATTCTGTATGTTGTAGTCTGACATGCACCATGACGTATTCTGTATGTTGTCTGACATGCACCATGACGTATTCTGTATGTTGTAGTCTGACATGCACCATGACGTATTCTGTATGTTGTCTGACATGCACCATGACGTATTCTGTATGTTGTAGTCTGACATGCACCATGACGTATTCTGTATGTTGTCTGACATGCACCATGACGTATTCTGTATGTTGTAGTCTGACATGCACCATGACGTATTCTGTATGTTGTAGCCTGACATGCACCATGACGTATTCTGTATGTTGTCTGACATGCACCATGACGTATTCTGTATGTTGTAGTCTGACATGCACCATGACGTATTCTGTATGTTGTAGTCTGACATGCACCATGACGTATTCTGTATGTTGTCTGACATGCACCATGACGTATTCTGTATGTTGTAGTCTGACATGCACCATGACGTATTCTGTATGTTGTCTGACATGCACCATGACGTATTCTGTATGTTGTCTGACATGCACCATGACGTATTCTGCATGTTGTAGCCTGGGCATGCACCATGACGGCGAGGGTAATGCCTGCGCCGACAAGAAGAACATCATGTCGTCGGGCGGGGGTGGAGGGGCTACCGCCTTCCAGTGGTCGTCATGCAGTGCAGACTACGTCAACAAGTTTCTCAGGTAACACACGCCTGTCTGAGGGCTGCATGCATGTGTCTGTGTATCCAGGAATACAACACTCCATTCCAGTCGGATTTCGTCATGTACTTTGACTGTTGATGGGCACGCCATTGCATGAATGGTTTCTAGTTCTCTTGGAAACAGGCGGAATAGGTTACATATGCATCACACAACAGCTGTGGTTGGGGAAACTGGTTGAATGGGTTACATAGTCATCACACAACAGCTGTGGTTGGGGAAACTGGTTGAATGGGTTACATATTCATCACACAACAGCTGTGGTTGGGGTAAATGGTTGAATGGGTTACATATTCATCACACAACAGCTGTGATTGGGGTAACTGGTTGAATAGGTTACATATTCATCACACAGCAGCTGTAGTTGGGTTGACTGGTTGAATGGGTTACATATTCATCACACAACAGCTGTGGTTGGGAAAACTGGTTGAATGGGTTACATATGCATCACACAACAGCTGTGGTTGGGGTAAATGGTTGAATGGGTTACATATTCGTCTCACAACAGCTGTGGTTGGGGAAACTGGTTGAATGGGTTACATATTCATCTCAGAACAGCTGTGGTAGCGGAAACTGGTTGAATGGGATACATATTCATCTCACAACATCTGTGGTCAGGGAAACTGGTTGAATAGGATACATATTCATGTCACAACAGCTGTGGTTAGGGAAACTGGTTGAATGGGTTACATATTCATCTCACAACAGCTGTGGTTGGGGAAACTGGTTGAATGGGATACATATTCATCTCACAACAGCTGTGGTTGGGGTAAATCGTTGAATGGGTTACATATTCTTCTCACAAGAGCTGTGGCTGAATGATATATATTTTATGTTACAACAGCAGTGGTCAGGGAAACTGTCTGAATGATTCCCCACAAGGTACAACTCTAGCACTGCCTCAACAACTGCCTGGAGTTATCTACCCTGCGGATGCGCAGTGCGAGTTCTTTGTTGGCGAAGGTTCCACCATTTGTACTGGGACCAGTCTTGTGGGAGTAAGCTGCGTTACATACATGTTTTCTTCTTGTGTAACACCGCACTATTCCGACTATGTTGCGGCGGCTGGTAAATGATCGAGTCTGGACCTGACAATCCAGTGATTGATATTATGGACAACGATCAACGTTGTATGAAGTAATATATTTGCATGGTTTGTAGTAAACACCATTAAATCAGTGCTTGTGATTATCTTTGCATGACGTGTGCGTGGATGTTGTTGAAGCTACAAGTTGTTGTTGTTGTTGTTCCATGGTATACTATATTTATTTCTGTTTGTGGTCACCAGGGCGACGAGTGTTCTAAACTGGTCTGCTTTGACCCCGGTCTGCCCGGGCAGTGCCGAGGAAGTCAGACCCCGCGCATGGATGGCACGGAATGCGGTAACAGGAAGGTAAGAGGTCATCTACTTTGGGGTTTCTATGGCATTTTAAGGGTAAAGGGGGTGCGGATTGGTGCGTTTGGCAGTCTGTAATGACGTTGGTGGGCACAATTTAGTGTTTGTTTGTATGTTGTTTAACTCCGCACAGCAATATTCTAGCCATATGACCGCGGTCTGTCAATAATCGAACCTGGACCAGACAACCCAGTGATTAATACCATGCGCACCGATCCACGCAATTGGTATACGATGACATACAAATCAGCGAGCCTAATCACCAGATCCCGTTAATCGCCTCTGGTGACAAGCGTAGTCGCCTTTTACGCCAAGCATGAGTTGCTGAAAACCTATTCGAACCCGGATCTTCACGGGTCCATAATTTAGTGAATATGATGCAGTACATGATACACAATACAGAATATAGCAGTCTCGTGTTTAGTGGGGAAAGCGAGGGCAATCTTGTGTTAAAGTGTCGTCACTGCTGTGCAATGTTTGTCCTAATACATTATCGGGTATAACGATCTCGTGTTTTAGTGGTGTCAGGGCGGACAGTGCGTCGACATCGGCCCCGACGGCCCAGCTCCCCAGGACGGAGGGTGGTCAGCCTACAGCACAGACTGGACACCGTGCTCAAGGTCGTGTGGGGGAGGGGTCAGGTACAAGTCAAGGAAGTGCAACAACCCAAGGTACGTCATCAGCCTCAGGGTATCTCACTCCACACTGTATTCCTTCACGTTATTCCACCCTCGTTATTAGACACCCGAATATAGGACATCACGTTGTTCCACCCTCGTTATTAGACACCCGAATATAGGACATTACGTTGTTCAACCCTCGATATTAGACACCCGAATATAGGACATTACGTTGTTCAACCCTCGGAGAGTTAGACACCCGAATATAGGACATCACGTTGTTCCACCCTCGTTGTTAGACACCCGAATATAGGACATTACGTTGTTCAACCCTCGGAGAGTTAGACCCCCGAATATAGGACATCACGTTGTTCCACCCTCGTTGTTAGACACCCGAATATAGGACATTACGTTGTTCAACCCTCGGAGAGTTAGACCCCCGAATATAGGACATCACGTTGTTCCACCCTCGTTGTTAGACACCCGAATATAGGACATTACGTTGTTCAACCCTCGGAGAGTTAGACCCCCGAATATAAGACATCACGTTATTTCACCCTCGATATTAGACACCCGAATATAGGACATAACGTTGTTCAACCCTCGGAGAGTTAGACCCCCGAATATAGGACATACAGCACAGACTGGACACCGTGCTCAAGGTCGTGTGGGGGAGGGGTCAGGTACAAGTCAAGGAAGTGCAACAACCCAAGGTACGTCATCAGCCTCAGGGTATCTCACACCACACTGTATTCCTTCACGTTATTCCACCCTCGTTATTAGACACCCGAATATAGGACATCACGTTGTTCCACCCTCGTTATTAGACACCCGAATATAGGACATTACGTTGTTCAACCCTCGGAGAGTTAGACCCCCGAATATAGGACATCACGTTGTTCCACCCTCGTTGTTAGACACCCGAATATAGGACATTACGTTGTTCAACCCTCGGAGAGTTAGACCCCCGAATATAGGACATCACGTTGTTCAACCCTCGGAGAGTTAGACCCCCGAATATAGGACATCACGTTGTTCAACCCTCGGAGAGTTAGACCCCCGAATATAGGACATAACGTTGTTCAACCCTCGGAGAGTTAGACCCCCGAATATAGGACATAACGTTGTTCAACCCTCGGAGAGTTAGACCCCCGAATATAGGACATACAGCACAGACTGGACACCGTGCTCAAGGTCGTGTGGGGGAGGGGTCAGGTACAAGTCAAGGAAGTGCAACAACCCAAGGTACGTCATCAGCCTCAGGGTATCTCACACCACACTGTATTCCTTCACGTTATTCCACCCTCGTTATTAGACACCCGAATATAGGACATCACGTTGTTCCACCCTCGTTATTAGACACCCGAATATAGGACATCACGTTGTTCCACCCTCGTTGTTAGACACCCGAATATAGGACATCACGTTGTTCCACCCTCGTTGTTAGACACCCGAATATAGGACATCACGTTGTTCCACCCTCGTTGTTAGACACCCGAATATAGGACATCACGTTGTTCCACCCTCGTTGTTAGACACCCGAATATAGGACATCACGTTGTTCCACCCTCGTTGTTAGACCCCCGAATATAGGACATCACGTTGTTCCACCCTCGTTGTTAGACCCCCGAATATAGGACATCACGTTGTTCCACCCTCGTTGTTAGACCCCCGAATATAGGACATCACGTTGTTCCACCCTCGTTGTTAGACACCCGAATATAGGACATCACGTTGTTCCACCCTCGTTGTTAGACACCCGAATATAGGACATCACGTTATTTCACCCTCGATATTAGACACCCGAATATATGACATTACGTTGTTCAACCCTCGGAGAGTTAGACCCCCGAATATAAGACATCACGTTATTTCACCCTCGGAGAGTTAGACCCCCGAATATAGGACATCACGTTATTTCACCCTCGGAGAGTTAGACACCCGAATATAGGACATTACGTTGTTCAACCCTCGGAGAGTTAGACCCCCGAATATAGGACATCACGTTGTTCCACCCACGATATTAGACCCCCGAATATAGGACATCACGTTGTTCAAACCTCGGAGAGTGTTAGACCCCCGAATATAGGACATCACGTTATTTCACCCTCGGAGAGTTAGACCCCCGAATATAGGACATCACGTTGTTCCACCCTCGGAGAGTTAGACCCCCGAATATAAGACATCACGTTGTTCCACCCTCGGGGTGTTAGACCCCCGAATATAGGACATCACGTTGTTCCACCCTCGGGGTGTTAGACCCCCGAATATAGGACATCACGTTGTTCACCCTCGGAGAGTTAGACCCCCGAATATAGGACATCACGTTGTTCCACCCTCGGAGAGTTAGACCCCCGAATATAGGACATCACGTTGTTCCACCCTCGGGGTGTTAGACCCCCGAATATAGAACATCATGTTATTTCACCCTCGGGGTGTTAGACCCCCGAATATAGGACATCACGTTGTTCCACCCTCGGAGAGTTAGACCCCCGAATATAGAACATCATGTTATTTCACCCTCGGGCAGTTAGACACCCGAATATAGGACATCACGTTGTTCCACCCTCGGAGAGTTAGACCCCCGAATATAAGACATCACGTTGTTCCACCCTCGGGGTGTTAGACCCCCGAATATAGAACATCATGTTATTTCACCCTCGGGGTGTTAAAACCCCGAATAAAGAACATCATGTTATTTCACCCTCGGGGTGTTAGACCCCCGAATATAGGACATCACGTTGTTCCATCCTCGGGGTGTCTCATACCAAAACTAGCGTTAATATGGAATACCTAACCTGTTATGTGGTCTTAGAGTTATTTCCCCTTAGCTACCAGGATTCCCTGGTGTCAGCCTCGAACTCCCGACCCTGCCCCTTTGCCCCACCTTTTTTCTTCATTCGGAGAGTTATCGTACAGTGAAGCTGGCAAGCTTGAAATAGCTGAACCTCTACTCCCATCCTGCTTCTCCCCCTTTTGTCCTGCTTATCCCTCTCCCATCCTCACTTGTGATGCTGATGTTGCAGACCGCTGTTCGGTGGAAAGACATGCGTGGGGCAAGACACCATGGCCGAGATGTGCAACATCCACGTGAGTTCATTCAACCTTTCTCACCAGGCGAACGAACGAACGAACGAACGAACGAACATACGAACGAACGAACGAATTCACAATTTTCATCATCTCTATTTAAATACAATTAATCGTCGAGATCAAATAACAAAACGACTTTTTTCCAAATCCATTGTGAGCATACACGTAAATCACTCATCCCCCAATCACCACCAAATCATCACCCAATCACCCCCCAATCATCAACCAATCACCCCCCAATCACCACCAAATCATCACCAAGTCATCACCCAATCACCACCCAATCACCACATGAGGACTATGCTGTGTCTGATGGTTGTAACGGACACGTGGTTACAGCTGAACGCGCTCTAACGCTTCCGGTGGAAACTGCTTAACTCAGCTACAGCTACACGCCATGTTACATGTAACTCAGTCACTGTTGGGTGAGTTCTGACACGGATGACCTCGTGCTGTGCAGGAATGCCCGACGTCCCAGCTGACGTTCAAGAAGGAGCAGTGCTCCGCCACAGACTCGGCCCCCTACAATGGTCAGCTTCATCACTGGATGCCCATGGGGGACACAGGTACGTCACAACGATAGGCACTGGTACTTCACACAGGTATGTCACACAGACAGACAAAGGTACGTCACAACGGTAGACACAGGTACGTCACAACGATAGGCACTGGTACTTCACACAGATATGTCACACAGACAGGCAAAGGTACGTCACAACGGTAGGCACAGGTACTCCACACAGGTATGTCACACAGACAGGCAAAGGTACGTCACAACGGTAGAGACACGTACGAGACAACGGTAGACACAGGTACGTCACACAGGTAGGTCACACAGACAGACATAGGTACGTCACAACGGTAGAGACACGTACGAGACAACGGTAGACACAGGAACGTCACACAGGTAGGTCACACAGACAGACATAGGTACGTCACAACGGTAGACACAGGTACGTCACACAGGTTTGTCACACAGACAGACACAGGTATGTCATCACATCGGTAGACATAGGCGGACACAGGTACGTCACACAGACAGACACAGGTATGTCACAACGGTAGACACAGGTACGTCACACAGGTACGTCACACAGGCAGACACAGGTATGTCGTCACAACGATAGACATAGGTGGGCACAGGTACGTCACACAGGTAAACATAAGTACCTAAATCAGGTACGTCACACCTGCACATAGTGATGTGACACAGGTAGGCACTGCGGCTAACTCGTGTAACTTGTGTTCGGCAGGTGCGACGCAATGCCAGCTGATGTGTGAGAGTGAGTCCGCACGCTTCGGGGTGACGAGGACCTTGGACGGCAGCAGCGACTTCAAGGACGGGACTGAATGTCAACCCAAGGAAGGAACCTACGGACGCTGCGTCCGTGGCACGTGCAGGGTAATTTCTATCTGACCAATGCACTATTGATGTGCCTGCTTCACAGACCATTGCTTTAAATCTCTAATGTCGTTTGCCCAAATCAACCGAATGAAAGCCTGTCACCGTTCACCAATTTAATCACACACTCACCCATACTACATACCAAACATCTGCCTACTCACCCACTCACCCACACTACATACCAACCATCTGCCTACTCACCCACTCACCCACACTACAAACCAAACATCTGCCTACTCACCCATACTACAGACCAAACATCCGCCTACTCACCCACTCACCAAAACAGCAAAGCACATCAAACTCACCCACTCGCCCAACAACCCAACATCTCACTCACTCACCCACTCGCCAAACAAATCAACAATTGTGTCACCCACTCACCAAACAAACTGACAACTAAAACACCTACTCATCCCCTTACCAACTCACCCACCAAGTCACTCGCCCACTCGCCCAACAAACTAACAACTCACCCAGCCTCCCATTAAGCAACACCATATTTCCCGACTCACTCCCGGACTGACCCAGACTGACCCAGACTGACCCCCTGTTGCCAGGCGTTCGGGTGTGACGGTGTGAGCGACTCGGGCCGGGAGAATGACCAGTGCGGCGTGTGTAGCGGTCTCGGAGACACGTGCAGTAAGAAGTCCGGCACGTTCACCAAGGGCGAGGAACACCGTCAGTATACGTGTACATGGACATACTATAAAAACTGACAAAATCTAAGAATTCAAAATGTTATCATTTGTTGATATTTGTGATATTCACGATTAAAGATAAAATGAAGACATCTCCAGAAGGAATAAATGTACAGATCTTCTCGATTCAAAACTCTATTAACCTGCCTCTATCACCTTACTAAACCTATCAACCTTACTAACTTTATCATGTCCTTAACCCTATCCTTTGCTAACTATATCAAGTCCTTAACTCTAACCTTTTACTAACTATATCAAGTTTTAATCCTATACTGTTAAAGGCGGCGTTACACACAACTCACTCACTCACTCACTCACTCACTCACTCACTCACTCACTCACTCCTAACTCGTTCGACTCTTTATTCTATCGGGACTTGACTCACTATCTGGTCTCCCCACAGAGTACGTGACCTTCGTGAAGATCCCCAAGGGCGCCACCGCTGTCACCATCACCAACACCAACGTCTACAGCATCCTCAGTAAGTGTTCCTCTGTCGTCATTTATTAGCGACATCACTACGACAACGTTACGTCATTCAGAAACATCACTACGACATCTTGCATTTCAATTATTTGGTCGTTACTTCGAATATTTTCTCGTTATTTCAAGTTTATCACAATAACGCGAAATTTCGAAAAGAAATTCTCGTTACTATCGTTATTTTCTAGAAATTTCGAGGTTTTGAAATAATTTTAATATGACGAGAAAAGGGGTTAAGCGACCTTACAGACATGTCTTCCTCGTCTGTTGCCAGGTTTGAGTGTGGGGGGAGTCCAGGTGTTGAACAAGGGGGGGCAGAAGGCAATGTCGGGCACCTACTCCGGCGCGGGGGTGACAGTCAAGTACAGACGGACCCCGGAGAAACTGCAGGTGGTCGGGACACTGTCTGATGACGCCGAGGGTCAGGTGTACCGCATCTACGGCGACATGTACGCCGGGTCCAACCCCAACATTAACTACGAATACTACGTCTCCAACAGCCAGAGCGGTCCTCAACGGTTCGTGTGGAAAACAAAGGAAGGCCAATGCAGCGCTACTTGTGGAGAGGGTAAGCTCCGAGTACGAGTATTATAAGTTCCACTATCAATAGCTCTCTAGCCTGTGTTGTCTCAGGGAGCGCGAAGACCGAGGCGACTTGTGAGATGTTTGTTTGTTTGTTGTATAACGTCGCACTCAGCAATATTCCAGCTATGACGGCGATCTGTAAATATTCGAGTCTGGACCAGACAATACAGTGATTGGTATCATGAGCATCGATCTACGCAATTGGGATACGATGACCTGCATCTACCAAGTCAGATAGACTGACCACCCAATCCTGTTAGTCACATCTTACGGCAAGCATGGGCTGCTGAAGACCTATTCTAACCCGGATCTTCACGGGTCTTGTGGATGAGTATAAAATGTTATGTGTGTAATGTGTGTTGTGTGTATACCCTCTGTTGTTTGTATACCCTCTGTTGTGTGTGTTACCTGTGTTGTTTGTGTACCCTCTGTTGTGTGTGTTACCTGTGTTGTTTGTGTACCCTCTGTTGTGTGTGTTACCTGTGTTGTGTGTATACCCTCTGTTGTGTGTGTTACCTGTGTTGTTTGTGTACCCTCTGTTGTGTGTGTTACCTGTGTTGTTTGTGTACCCTCTGTTGTGTGTGTTACCTGTGTTGTTTGTGTACCCTCTGTTGTGTGTGTTACCTGTGTTGTTTGTGTACCCTCTGTTGTGTGTGTTACCTGTGTTGTGTGTTTCAGGGAGCGTACAGATGGAGGCAATGTGTGTGAAGGCCGACACTGGGGCGACAGTTGACAACTACAGGTGCCTCCTGGCGGACAAACCTCTGTCTGGAGGGAAGCCATGCTCCGAGCCTGCCTGTCCCGCATCGTGAGTGCCAGACTTTTAGCATACCATTGCTCCAAATATCTGAAACTTTGCATTGATAAAGATCTGTAACATGTAACACATCACTCCACATATCCCACACACACACATACACACTGCACACGCATTGTTGAGGCAACACACTTGAACACACAGGGGACACAATCACATACACACACGCCCAGACACGCACTCACACATACACACATATACATACACACAGAGAGACACACTCACACATGCACACACACACGCACTCACACACGCACTCTCACACATACACACACACACACACAGACACATTCACACATGCACTCGCACGCGCGCATACACACACACATACACGCGCTCACACATACACACACCCACACACGCACTCACACACACATATACATACACACAGAGACACATACTCACATACGCACTCACAAATACACACAGAGAGACACACTCACACATGCACACGCACACAGACACACACTCACATGCACACTCACACATACACATACACACAGACACACACTCACATGCACACAGAGAGAAACACAATCAGACATGCACACACACATGCACACAGACACATACTCACATATACACACATACATACACACACAGATAAACATTCACACACACGCGCAGACACACTCACACAGACACACACAATCACATACATACACACACACTCAAACATACACACACTCACACATACACACATACATACACACACTCACACATACACAGACACACTCACACATACACTACACACATACACATCATTGAAGCAATACTTGAACACACAGGCGACACAATACACACACATACAGACACACACATACATGCACGCATGCACACGCACGCACACACACACTACACACGCAGCGCACTTGACAAACTCGTCAAACTTCTCCGTCCTTCTGCAGGTGGAGAGCGGGGTCATTCGGCACGTGCAGCAGGACGTGTGGCGGGGGGACACAAAGCCGGCAGGTGCGCTGTATGAGGGACTCCACCCCCATGCCGGACTCGGTCTGTACGGAGCCGAAACCAGCCGCCCAGCAGGAGTGTGGGACGCACGCTTGTCCCGGGGAGTGGAGACCACAGGCGTGGTCTGTTGTAAGTGCATTGTCTACTATAAGTCTAATATATTGTCTACTATGAGTCTGAAGCATTGTCTACTATAAGTCTAAAATATTGTCTTCTATGATTCTGAAGCAGTGTCTACTCTAAGTCTAATGCATTGTCTAATTATGTGTCTAATGCATTGTCTACTATGAGTCTTATGCATTGTCTACTATAAGTCTAATGCATTGTCTACTATGCGTCTAATGCATAGTCTACTATGAGTCTAATGCATTGTCTACTATGAGTCTAATGCATTGTCTACTATGAGTCTAATATATTGTCTACTATGAGTCTAATGTATTTTCTAACTCTGCCCTAAATCTACTGCAAAGTCTACTTACTTACACGAGCGCACACACACACACACACACACACACACGCACGCACGCACGTACAAACACACACACACACGCACACGCACACACAAACGCACACACGCACACAAACACACACACACACACACACGCACACACGCACGCACGCACGCGCACACACACACACACACACATGCACGCAGGCACGCACGCACGCACGCACACACACACACACACACACACGTGTATACAGATATATTCTCTCTGTTCCTGCAGTGTTCCCAGACGTGTTCTGTGGGAGTGAAGTCGCGAACCAGCAAGTGTTTCCTTGGCAACGAGGAGGTTCCGGATGAGAAGTGCTTGCCCTCAGATAAACCAGCGTCCACCCAAACTTGTCTCACCGCCGTCTGTTTCCCCGACATGAGTGAGACTTTCTGAGATGTTCTGTTTTGCCGATTCAGTCTAGTGTGTGTCAGACCTGACCTGGTGGGGTGGTCAGTCTAGTGTGTGTCTCACCTGACCTGGTGGGGTGGTCAGTCTACCCTGTGTCTCACCTGACCTGGTGGGGTGGTCAGTCTACCCTGTGTCTCACCTGACCTGGTGGGGTGGTCAGTCTACCCTGTGTCTGACCTGACCTGGTGGGGTGGTCAGTCTACCCTGTGTCTGATCTGACCTGGTGGGGTGGTCAGTCTACCCTGTGTCTGACCTGACCTGGTGGGGTGGTCAGTCTACCCTGTGTCTGACCTGACCTGGTGGGGTGGTCAGTCTACCCTGTGTCTGACCTGACCTGGTGGGGTGGTCAGTCTACCCTGTGTCTGATCTGACCTGGTGGGGTGGTCAGTCTACCCTGTGTCTGACCTGACCTGGTGGGGTGGTCAGTCTACCCTGTGTCTGACCTGACCTGGTGGGGTGGTCAGTCTACCCTGTGTCTGACCTGACCTGGTGGGGTGGTCAGTCTACCCTGTGTCTGACCTGACCTGTAGGGGTGGTCAGTCTACCCTGTGTCTGACCTGACCTGGTGGGGTGGTCAGTCTAGTGTGTGTCTGACCTGACCTGGTGGGGTGGTCAGTCTAGTGTGTGTCTGACCTGACCTGGTGGGGCGGTCAGTCTACCCTGTGTCTGACCTGACCTGGTGGGGTGGTCAGTCTACCCTGTGTCTGACCTGACCTGGTGGGGTGGTCAGTCTACCCTGTGTCTGACCTGACCTGGTGGGGTGGTCAGTCTAGTGTGTGTCTGACCTGACCTGGTGGGGCGGTCAGTCCACCCTGTGTCTGACCTGACCTGGTGGGGTGGTCAGTCTACCCTGTGTCTGACCTGACCTGGTGGGGTGGTCAGTCTACCCTGTGTCTGACCTGAATGGGTGGTGTTATCAGTCTATTGTGTTTGACCTGACACGGTCATGTGGTCAGTCTAGTGCGTGTCTCCTCAGAAGGTGGCGTGAGTTTTGTAAGTTAGTGCCGTGTCTCCCCAGAGTGAGTGATTATGGTTTTACGCCGCTTTTAGAAATATTCCAGCAATATCACGGCGGGGGACAGCAGAAAACGGGCTTCACACATTGTACCCATGTGACGAGCGAACGCTTTAACCTCTAGGCTATGCGACCGCCCCGTGTCTCACCAGAAGGTGGCGTGAGTTGTATAAGTTACTGCCGTATCTGTTGCAGCTGGGATTAAGTGCGCCGACACCAAGGACTGCGAAGGCCGCGACACCTCCGTCTGTAGCGACTTCGCCGACTGGTCCAAACAGAACTGCAAGATGACCTGCGGATACTGCAAAGTGGACGGAGACAGTGAGTCACGTGACCTGCTTGCTGGCTTGTGTGGATTCTGTATATAGATGCTCGTTGGTTTGATCTGGTCCAGACACGTCATCCTGTATACACGTAACTGACTTGCTACACGTGTCATTGCCATGTTACTGACTAGCTACAGGTGTTATTGCCATGTTACTGACAAGCTACACGTGTTATTGCCATGTTACTGACTAGCCCCACGTGCTTTTGCCATGTTACTGACTAGCTACACGTATTAGTGCCATGTCACTGACTTGCTACACGTGTTATTACTATGTTACTAGCCACACGTGTTATTGCCATGTTACTGACTAGCTACACGTGTTATTGCTGCGTTATTGACTAGCCCTACGTGCTATTATCATGTTACTGACTAGCTACACGTGTCATTGCGATGCTACTATATACACGTGTTATTACTATGTTACTAGCTACACGTGTTATTGCCATGCAACTGACTGGCTACACGTGCTATTGCCATGTTACTGGCTAGCTACACGCGTGATTGCCATGTTACTGACTAGCTACACGTGTTATTGCCATGTTACTGACTAGCTACACGTGTTATTGCCATGTTACTGACTGGCTACACGTGCTATTGCCATGTTACTGGCTAGCTACACGCGTGATTGCCATGTTACTGACTAGCTACACGTGTTATTGCCATGTTACTGACTAGCTACACTTGTTATTACTATGTTACTAGCTACACGTGTCATTGCGATGATACTGACTAGCTACACTTGTTATTACTATGTTACTAGCTACACGTGTCATTGCGATGATACTGACTATATACACGTGTTATTACTATGTTACTAGCTACACGTGTCATTGCGATGATACTGACTATATACACGTGTTATTACTATGTTACTAGCTACACGGATCATTGCCATGTTATTGACTAGCCCCACGTGCTATTGCCATGTTACTGACTAGCTACACGTCTTATTGCCATGTTACTGACTAGCTACACGTGTTATTGCCATGTTACTGACTAGCTAAACTTGTTATTACTATGTTACTAGCTACACGGATAATTGCCAAGTTACTGACTAGCTACACGTGTTATTGCTATGTTACTGACTAGCCCCACGTGCTATTGCCATGTTACTGACTAGTTACACGTGTTATTGCCATGTTACTGACTAGCTACACGTGTTATTACTATGTTACTAGCTACACGTGTTATTGCCATGTTACTGACTAGCTACACGTGTTATTGCTATGTTACTGACTAGCCCCACGTGCTATTGCCATGTCACTGACAAGCTTCACGTGTCATTGCCACGCTACTGACTATATACGAGTGTTATTACTATGTTACTAGCTACACGTGTCATTGCGATGCTACTGACTATATACACGTGTTATTACTATGTTACTAGCTACACGTGTTATTGCCATGCAACTGACTAGCTACACGTGCTATTGCCATGTTACTGATTAGCTACACGTGTTATTGCCATGTTACTGACTAGCTACACGTGTTATTGCCATGTTACTGACTAGCTACACGTGTTATTGCCATGTTACTGACTAGCTACACGTGGTATTGCTATGTTACTGACTAGCTACACGTAATATTACTATGTTGCTGACTAGCTACAAGTGGTATTGCTATGTTACTGACAAGCTACACGTGTTATTACTATGTTATTGACTAGCTACACGTGTTATTGTCATGTTACTGACTAGCTACACGTGTTATTGCCATGTTACTGACTAGCCACACGTGTTATTGCCATATTTCTAACTAGCTACACGTGTAATTACTATGTTACTGACTAGCTACACATGTAATTGCTATGTTTCTAACTAGCCACACGTGTGTGTTTTTGTTGTCAGGTGCTTGCAAGGATGTGGACACCGCAGAGTGCAAGGGTCACGGCCCCACCGTCTGCACCGAGTACCCCGACTGGGCGAAGACGAACTGTGCCAACTACTGTGGCTGTGACAGCACTGGCTCCACTGGCTCCGCTGGGGGCTCCACAGACTCCTGCCAGGACAAGGACACCGAGACATGCAGGGGACAGGGAGCCAGCGCCTGTACACAATATCCTGATTGGGCTAAGGAGAACTGCGCTAAATTTTGTAATATCGGTTGTAAATCCTCCGGTACAGGTAGTGGTGCAACAGGGACGGGTACCGGGAGTGTTGGAACAGGCTCCACAGACTCCTGCCAGGACAAGGACACCGAGACATGCAAGGGACAGGGAGCCAGCGCCTGTACACAATATCCTGAGTGGGCTAAGGAGAACTGCGCTAAATTTTGTAATATCGGTTGTAAATCCTCCGGTACAGGTAGTGGTGGTACCGGGACGGGTACTGGAAGTGTTGGCACGGAGTCTGGTCAGCAGAGTGTTGATGGCGCGTGCAAGGACACCAATGACCAGTGTGACCAGTACAATGACCAGACCTGCTCGCAGTACAAGGAGTGGGCGATGGAAAACTGCAAGAAGCGCTGCAATTTTTGTACAGGTGAGAGTCACGTGGCTAGCGCGCAGTCTGTAGTCAATAGTAGCACGGCGGCGGCATCCACAGCGGCAAGTGTAAGCACGACAGCGGCGCCTGTTGACGGCAACTGCAGGGACGTGTTAACAAACTGCGCAGCGTACGGGACCAGCGCGTGTACAAAGTATGGGGATTGGGCGCGCAAGAATTGCCAGAACTACTGCGCCATGTGCGGCGAGGCTACAGCAGTGACTGCGGCACCAGCGGCTACAACTACTTCATCAGCGGACCCCTCGTGCACGGACCTCAAGGACTGCGCTGCATACGGTGCCAGTGTGTGCCAGACCTATAAAGACTGGGCCAAGGAAAACTGCAGGAAGTTCTGTGGCCACTGTTCATCACGCCAGGAACCAACGACGGCCATGTCTACAACTACTACAACAACTTCAACTACAACGACTACCACAATACCTACTACACAGGGAACACATGCGGCTGTTGACGGCGACTGCGCTGACAAAATGAACTGCGCAAGCTACGGGACGGGCGTCTGTTCGCAATATGCTGACTGGGCGACCACAAACTGTAAAAAATTCTGCGGCAAATGTGAATCAAAGGAAACCCAGTCTATTGCGCAGCCGGTGACAGTGACAACACCAGTCTCCGATCCGAACTGTAAAGATGCACGAGGGGACTGTGAAGGCTATGGTAAAGGCACGTGCACACAGTATCCTGATTGGGCGAAAGAAAACTGTCAGAAGTTCTGCGGCTTGTGCACTGCTGCAGGCGATCCAGGGTGCCAGGACAAAAAGACGGACTGCGCAGGATACGGGACAGGTGCGTGTGCGCAGTATCCAGACTGGGCGGCTTCAAACTGCAAGCGTTTCTGCAACTTGTGTGACGCAAGCGCTGGTAGTAAAGGTGAAGCTGCTGGCGACGCGACAACGCAGGCAGTGACAGGTAGGCACGGGCTAGCGGGAGAGGGATATCAAATTAGGGTACTTCGGGGGCTATTGGCGGAGGGATATCACATAGTTGCACTTCACAGGCTAGCGACGGAGTGATATCAAAAAGGGTCACTTCACGGGCGAGCGGCGGAGGGATATCACATATAGGGGCACTTCCTGGAGAGATGAGTGAGGAGGGATATGACACAGGGAGGGATATCGGAGTAGAAGCGTCCCCAAGTTCGTTTTTGTTCCAGGTCATGAACCCTCGCTGCACCTGCACAGGGAACATTTTGTGTTTCGGGAATACCACTGACTGGACTTGTTTGCTTTACAGATAGTTCTCCCTGTAGGCGATGCACGACGCCTTCTTCATTGTACTGTAGTACTGACCCTTGACGTCCACATAGCCATGAATATCAGGTGTAATTACCTCCCCACTCCATGACCCAACTAGTGTCTGATCCACTGACTATCTGAATCCTACACTTGATCTCCACTGTCTGTTTACTATACCTGATCTGACCCGTGAACATCCGGGTTGTAATTGGTCTTTGGCAACACATGGTTGTCGTACGAGGCGATGTGCTTGTCGAAAGAGGTGACAATCGGGATCGGGTAGTCAGGCTGACTTGGTTGATGCATGTCATCGTATCCCATTTGCGCAGATCGATGTTCATGATGTTAATCACTGGATTGTCAGTTCCAGACTTGATTGTTTACAGACCGCCGTCATATAGCTGGAATATTGCAAAATGAAGCGTTAAACAACGAGCCAACTATACCTGATCTCTACTGGCTGTTCAGTACGTAATCTCCTCTGACCGTCTGTGTTATACGTGATCTGTCCACCGGAAGTATGGAGGTAATTTGTTTTATATTTCTGCCAGACACAAATACAGACACAAAGACACACCCAGACACGACGGCCTGCGAGGACAAGACCGACTGCCCAGGCTATGGACGGTCAATGTGTTCTGATGACCAGTACAAAGGCTGGGCCCACATCAACTGTCCCACATTCTGTGGATTCTGTGGTGGTAAGGTGGTGACAGGGTGACAGCACTGAGAGTCCCGCCACCAGGTGGCAGCACTAGTAACCTCTTCACCAGGTGGCAGCACCTTCTGTTTTATTTCTTTGCACCAAGTATTATTAATATCTTTTCTTTCTCCTTTCAGCATTTATTTTCATCCCTTTTGTTTTAGCTTCTTGCACGACAATTTCAGTTTGTATTGTACTCTGACAATGAATTACACCCTGTCTGTTGTTTGGTCGTTCATGAGTGTGTCTCTACTGGCGTCGTCCACGTGTCCCCTCCCTGCTACACTGGCACGGTGATCGCTGAGAACGCCTCCATCATAGGACATCTATAGACATGAAGTCATCACCTTTCTTACAATTACAATTTTCAGTCAATTTATCAAATATTATGCCTGATATTTCACTCAATTTGTAAAATAACTATAATAATAATTCATTGAATAAACAGAGACCATCTATCGACTTTAGAATGATTGGGTGAATCAGTCATTTAACACATTGGCAGGATATGTCTATGTCTTAGGCGTCATTCAGAGAACCCCTCTGTGATGTACACATTGCCATCTCCTATTACAAACAGAGATATCGTACATAAGGCAGATACTGCAGCGGCTGGGTAAGGTCCGATGACCATCTTGACAGTGCCACAATACTTTGGTAACACTTCGAGGTGTGTATCATGGTTGCGCCAGGACTCCCAGCTCGCAGGTTCCAGTTATGGTCATGACGCCTCATGCCCGGGTTCGTTGTTTCCAAAGAGGTTCGGGTGTACGGGGGGCCCAGTCATCTAAGGCGCCACGATTCGCTGTGCAGATATGCTTCCTTTGGGCACGCCAGAAACCTATGATTGTGGGTTCGAATCCCGGGTCAACCCGATTATGTTTCTAGGTTTGTCAGCACCATACCCGTGGTCGTGCTCACCGAAGTGGTAAACGTCTCAGACCTGCATCACTGCGGGCTTTCCTCCCACATAAAGCTGACACGCCGTGATATTACTGGAATACTGATAAAAGCGGCGTTAAACCCAACTCACTCACCCAAAGAGGTACACGTCAAAGGATGACGTCACTGCTGCTTGCTCTCCGCGTCACATCATAGCATCCTGGCACAGCATGAGGGACGGGAACATCAAGCACTTTAGTAGAACGAGAAGCTGTACTGTGAAAGTTCGCACTGTCATATCAAAATACAACACTCAGCATGGGACATGACGAAGTCTGGCAGAGCATAACAACAATACGACTGAGCTAGTCTGCCAACAACAAAGTAGACACAATTTATGGATAACAACTTCTTTATTTACTGTAAAGGCGTCGTTTCAGTATTGATCATTAAAGCTCATACCGTTGTCAAGCAAGACTAAATAATGAACAAAGTAGGTAGAGGACTTTGTCATCTGTCAGCTTCTAAGTGATGACTATTCAACAATTGCGCTAGTTTGGTTGCAGAGTTAGTCTCATCAGTGTCCTTGTACACAGCAGAAAGGAGGGTGAGGTGAAATGGGGTTTACGTTTACAAAAATATTGTACTTATACAGTGACCCACACAGCAGAAAGAGCTGTGTGTGATGTAATTCACCCGACCGTCCGTCTAACACCGTTCTTCTTGTTCCCCCCCAGCGGCCAAGACGAGCAGCGCCGACAGCAGTACCACCTCCTGTGTTGACCTCGCCAACTGCGCTGGGTACGGCGCCGACGTGTGCACCAAGTACGGCGACTGGGCCAAGACCAACTGCAAGAAGTTCTGTGGCATTTGTGGTGAGTCCTTGCGTCCTTGCGTCCTTGTGTCCTTGCGTCCTTGAATCCTTGTGTCTTTGTGTCCATGCGTCCTTGAGTCCTTGAACCCTTGCGTCCATGCGTCCTTGAGTCCTTGCGTCCTTGTGGTCGACCCGTGAACATCCGGGTAAAAATAGGTCTCAGCAACCTATGCTTGTCGTAAGAGGCGACTAACGGGATCGGGTGGTCAGGCTCGCGGACTTTATTTATGCATGTCATAGTATCCCAATTGCGTGGATCGATTCTCATGATGTCAATCACTGGATTTTCTGGTCCAGGCTCGAATATTTACGTACCACCGTCATATAGCTGGAATATTGCTGAGTGCGGCGTTAAACAACAAACAAACAAATCCTCGTGTCCCGAGCATGCACATAGCTCTCTGATGCTCTCGGGATTTACCTGAACACGATGCTTGTATGTTCAATTCAGTTTATTGTATTCAAGCCAAAAGGCCGACATACATATTAATTACATAATAGTAAGACTATGTTGATTAATGGATATTCATGTGCAGGGTATATGACGTTAACCAGAATATTTGTTTGGATCAAAATTACAATTTTCTTTATATTTGGGGGAATATACACAGCTTTCTTATATTATCATACAATGGACACATTATAATAACACGAAACTCATCCTCACCCTCATTCAAATTACAAAGCTGACAGATTCGGTTTTCTTTGGGATATTTTGTCCGCGTCCGATATTTGTCTGTAGCCCTGCCCAACCTGTTCTTAATAGTGATAGATGATGTCTAATACTTGACATTATTATTTGTAACATAAGCTTCTGGATATAGATGATGTTTATAACAGGAATAATTATCATGTGTGGAGCTTTCGTTCAATTTTGCATGCCACGCTTTCAAGGAGATATCTTTAGTCTCATTTTGACTTCGTTTAAACAAATTCAGTATTCCCGACTTCTTGACAGACCCATGTTTACCAAAGACCACATGGAAAAAGTGACTTTCTAATGATTGATATCCAAGTAAATAATTTTTAGGTTTGTTGGGGGGAGCCGATGATTTGTCATTTGTATAAGTGAGAGCCATAAATCATCGTTCTCCTGTTTGTTGATAAGACCTTCCATATTCCATAAGTGATCTGGGAGATTTTACCACACTTCACTGAGGCCCGGCCGAGTCCCATATCATCGGGGGCGGCGATATTTCTAGACTGCCGTCTAGGCTTCTGGCCGTTATTTGTCTGTACTTTTTGAGCTGGGCGTGCGTCTCAAGGTGCACGCTGGTTGTCCACGTGCACTACACTATTCTTGATATATCCACCTTGGTCCTGTTCTGATTGCTGCGGATCCCTGAGATCCTGTGATGTGATAGTTGGTCCAGGCTTGCTCCTGCGAGTAGTCACAACTGGATGTATATGTTTATATCGTTGCCTAGCAACAGCTCGGAAATGTCGGTCACTGTTACACTTGTGACGTCGCACGTGAAGTCCATGTAAGTGTGAAAATTTCTAGCGAGTGCACAAAACTGCTCATTGCAACGATATACAAGATCCATGAGTTTTTTCTGATTACACATGATTATACTCACATAGGAAGCTTCCAAAGTTCCACAAGGTCTGAATATGTCTCATCCCACTGATTGACGTTGTTCCTCAGGTGCTGGGACACAAGCCAAAGTCACCAACAATGTCTGCAAGGACACATCAACCGACTGCGCAGGCTACGGCGCATCGGCCTGCACACAGTATGCTGATTGGGCGAAAACCAACTGTCAAAAATATTGCAACCTGTGCTAGACAAGGTAAAATACGACAGCCTTCATCCTAGATTAGACCAGGCAGGAATATTGTACCGTATTTACATTCCTGGCAACCTAACTTAGATCGGGTAAAAATACTGCAATGAAAGATAGATGAGGTAGAATACTGCAACCTAAGATAGAACAAGTGAAAATATTGCAACAACTGTTAGATCAGATAGAAAACTGCAACCTAACATAGAACAAATGAAAATATTGCAATAACTGTTAGATCAGGTAGAATACTGCAACCTAAATTAGAACAAGTGAAAATATTGCAACAACTGTTAGATCAGGTAGACTATTGCAACCAAAGATAGAACAAGTGAAAATATTGCAACAACTGTTAGATAAGGTAGAATACTGCAACCTAAGATAGAACAAGTGAAAATATTGCAACAACTGTTACATCAGGTAGAATACTGCAACCTAAGATAGAACAAGTGAAAATATTGCAACAACTGTTACATCAGGTAGAATACTGCAACCTAAGTTAGAACAAGTGAAAATATTGCAATAGCTGTTAGATCAGGTTTTCTTTTGCAACCAAAGATAGGACAAATGAAAATATTGCAATAACTGTTAGATCAGGTAGAATACTGCAACCTAACATAGAACAAATGAAAATATTGCAATAACTGTTAGATCAGGTAGACTATTGCAACCTAAGTTAGAACAAGTGAAAATATTGCAATAACTGTTAGATCAGGTATTCTTTTGCAACCAAAGATAGGACAAATGAAAATATTGCAATAACTGTTAGATCAGGTAGAATACTGCAACCTAACATAGAACAAATGAAAATATTGCAATAACTGTTAGATCAGGTAGAATACTGCAACCTAACATAGAGTAAATGAAAATATTGCAATAACTGTTAGATCAGGTAGAATACTGCAACCTAACATAGAACAAATTAAAATATTGCAATAACTGTTAGATCAGGTAGAATACTGCAACCTAACATAGAACAAATGAAAATATTGCAATAACTGTTAGATCAGGTACAATACTGCAACCTAACATAGAGTAAATGAAAATATTGCAATAACTGTTAGATCGGGTAGAATACTGCAACCAGTGTTGACCAGGTAGAACCACTCGGAACTAGACCATGCACAAATAGTGTAAGATATGTTGTTTTCAATTGTATTTTCTTAGGATATTTGTCATGAGTGTCAATGTTTCCAACACGTGCACCTTACAGTGTGCTCCGGGGCGGTCGGGTAGCCTAGTGGTTAAAGCGTTCGCTCGTCACGCCAAAGATCCGGGTTCGATTCCAGACATAGGTACAATGTTTGAAGCCCATTTCTGGTGTCCCCCGGCTGGATATTGCTGCAATATTTCTAAGACGGCGTAAAACCATACTCACTCGCTCCAATATGGCCAGATAATAATGCTTCACTTTCCATATGGAGAAAGGGACACTCGTATGTTCAGCCTTGAATGTCTTGCTCGTATTCATGTCAGGACTTACAGTATATTCGTACACCAACTGAAGACACTGTTGTCTCGCACACCGTCCCCATTCAGTCACTTTACACTTCGTCTTGTTTCAGATGACCGGAAAGCGCGTTGAAGTGTGAACCAAGACTTCCGGTCAATGAACCTACAACTAATCTGACCCTACTGTCTCCTCCACAGAGGACAATGTGTGTGCTTTCTTCTTTGTGCATCACGTGACATAGTTTGTGTGCATCACGTGACCGAGTGTGTTTTGTGTGACATGTACATAGTTGTTATTTTGCTGCAGAGAAAGACCACGTGATCATAGCGTGAAACTAATCTGATACCGATACAACTCAATGATAGTAGGAGAACAATTTAGTGATAGAAGAGACACGATTCATTGACATGAACATTTTACTTCAACTATTGAAATCCTCCTATACGAAATGCAGTCACTACAAGGGGCGGTAACTCTCCTGACTTGGAACACCGAGTGACAGTGTGCTGTAGAGAAATCCTCCATTGATTCCCACTACAAAGGACCCCCTGCTCTCATGAGCAAGACGAGTGTATTTATTTTGCAATATTAAACTAGCATCATTACTACGTGTTTTGTTGTGTTTTGAGTGCACTGCGTCGTATCATTCGTCTCTGGTTAGGTGGGATCGATTCTCAGTGACGACAAATCCAAACACATGGCCAAACAGTCCATAGACATTTTAAGATATAATTCATGAGGACATTAGTTGTGAGCCCTGCGGGCAACCTCTGTCGCCCAGGGTGTTATATACTACTCAAAAGAAGTTAAGGATCACCCAATTCTTTCATATTGGTAATGCTAATCTGTCATGGCATGAGAGATTAACTATTGTAATATGAAAGAATCACGTGATCCTTAACTTCTTTTGAGTAGTTTATATTCACTGTATTATGATAGATACCCTGCAGTCAAGGAGCTCAAGACAGACTCCAAACCTAGCTGACCAGCTACACTGCACCAGTGTTCGAGAGCAGTTATGTATTTTGACGGTACTGATAAGAGAGCTATGACGTCACTGCCGAAACGAGGCGGTGGCTGGGTCATCCTAACACAGTGAAATGGAGGACATAACAGCCTCTAGAGATAACCGCAAGGAATGAGGGTTGCTTCGACAACATCCTGTTTTCTGCACCAACAGCACAGCATATGTTATGTACAATTCCAACTTCTACGGTTGCCCTTAAGGGACATAAAACCGTTTTGAACATTTTTTTAAACCGTTTTCAGCTTTTCGAGTATCATCCGTTTTCATTCGAACAATGCACAGTTAACTACGTTATAACGAACACGCTTATAACGAACTGACGGATATAACGGACTTACTTTTTTATCACTAAAATTTGCTGTAATTATGCTATAAATATGCTTATAATGATCTACGGTTATAACGAACTAAAATTAGTGGTCCGTTTGAGTTCGTTATAACACTAGTTTACTGTATTACACGTGTAGAAAAGGAAACTGAGACTATATAAAACGTGATTACCAGAGAACTGATTCCACTGGGTGCAGAGTGAATGAGTGAGTGAGTCGGGTTTAACGCCGCTTTGAGAACAGTATTCCAGTTATATTACGACGTGTTTGCTTGATGTGGGAGGAAAGTCCGAAGTGATGCAGGTCACAGTCGTCTACCACTTTGATGAAACCCACAAGTACGGGTATGGTGCTGACAAACCTAGAAACATAATCGGGGCGAACCGGGATTCGAACCCACAATCTTAGGTTTCTGGCGTACCCAAGGGACGCAACTCTGCACAGCGAATTCCGGCGCCTCAGACGACTGGGCCAACCGTGCCCGCCCCAGGTGCGCGCGGAGAGGGCAAGCATGTCCTGCATTAGCGCCTTCACTGATTTGGTTGAAACAAACGACCATGTTAGTGTTAAATTAAGTCTTCTGTGTACATGAGAAAAACGGTAAACAAATAGGATCGTTTTTACTACACAGTGTGTGCGTGCGTAGTGGGAGAGCTCTAGTGTCTCGGAACAAAACAAAAAATAGGGTCAAACATTACCTACCTGTACACGCCATCTCATCATGTGGAGTCAAACACTACCTACAGATACATGCCATCTCATTGTGTGAAGTCAAACACTACCTACAGATACATGCCATCTCATTGTGTAGAGTCAAGCATTGCCTACAGATACATGCCATCTCATTGTGTGGAGTCAAACACTACCTACAGATACATGCCATCTCATTGTGTGAAGTCAAACACTACCTACAGATACATGCCATCTCATTGTGTAGAGTCAAACATTGCCTACAGATACATGCCATCTCATTGTGTGGAGTCAAACACTACCTACAGATACATGCCATCTCATCGTGTGGAGTAAAACACTACCTACAGATACATGCCATCTCATTGTGTAGAGTCAAACATTGCCTACAGATACATGCCATCTCATTGTGTTGAGTCAAACACTACCTACAGATACGTGAAATCTCATTGTATGGAGTCAAACACTACCTACAGATACATGCCATATCACTGTGTGGAGTCAAATACTACTTACAGATACACGTCGTCTCATTGTGTGGATTCAAACACTGCCTACAGATACACGTCGTCTCATTGTGTGGAGTCAAACACTACCTACAGATACATGCCATCTCATTGTGTGGAGTCAAACACTACCTACAGATACATGCCATCTCATTGTGTGGAGTCAAACACTACCTACAGATACATGCCATCTCATTGTGTGGAGTCAAACACTACCTACAGATACATGCCATCTCATTGTATGGAGTCAAACACTACCTACAGATACACGCCATCGCATTGTGTGGAGTAAAACACTGCCTACAGATACATGTCATCTCATTGTGTGGAGTCAAACACTGCCTATATTACGAGGGTTTGTGTGGAGTCAAACACTGCCTACATTGCGAGGGTTTGTGTGGAGTCAAACACTGCCTACATTGCGAGGGCTTGTGTGGAGTCAAACACTGCCTACATTGGGAGGGCTTGTGTGGAGTCAAACACTGCCTACATTGCGAGGGCTTGTGTGGAGTCAAACACTGCCTACATTGGGAGGGCTTGTGTGGAGTCAAACACTGCCTACATTGCGAGGGCTTGTGTGGAGTCAAACACTGCCTACATTGCGAGGGCTTGTGTGGAGTCAAACACTGCCTACATTGGGAAGGCTTGTGTGGAGTCAAACACTGCCTACATTGCGAGGGCTTGTGTGGAGTCAAACACTGCCTACATTACGAGGGCTTGTGTGGAGTCAAACACTGCCTACATTGCGAAGGCTTGTGTGGAGTCAAACACTGCCTACATTGCGAGGGCTTGTGTTGAGTCAAACACTGCCTATATTGCGAGGGTTTGTGTGGAGTCAAACACTGCCTACATTGCGATAGCTTGTGTGGAGTCAAACGCTGCCTACATTGGGAGGGCTTGTGTGGAGTCAAACACTGCCTACATTGCGAGGGCTTGTGTGGAGTCAAACACTGCCTACATTGGGAAGGCTTGTGTGGAGTCAAACACTGCCTACATTGTGAGGGCTTGTGTGGAGTCAAACACTGCCTACATTACGAGGGCTTGTGTGGAGTCAAACTGCCTACATTGGGAAGGCTTGTGTGGAGTCAAACTCTGCCTACATTGCGAGGGCTTGTGTTGAGTCAAACACTGCCTACATTGTGAGGCTTTTGTGGAGTCAAACACTGCCTACATTGCAAGGGCTTATGTGGAGTCAAACTGCCAACATTGTGAGGGCTTGTGTTGAGTCAAACACTGCCTACATTGCGAAGGCTTGTGTGGAGTCAAACACTGCCTACATTGCGAGGGCTTGTGTGGAGTCAAACACTGCCTACAGATACATGCCATCTCATTGTGTGGAGTCAAACACTACCTACAGATACACGCCATATCACTGTGTAGAGTAAAACACTACCTACAGATACATGCCGTCTCATTGTATGGAGTCAAACACTGCCTACAGATACATGCCATCTCGTTGTGTGGAGTCAAACACTGCCAATAGATACATGCCATCGCATTGTGTGGAGTCAAACACTGCCTATATTGCGAGGGCTTGTGTGGAGTCAAACACTGCCTACATTGCGAGGGCTTGTGTGGAGTCAAACTCTGCCTACATTGCAAGGGTTTGTGTGGAGTCAAACACTGCCTACATTGCGAGGGCTTATGTGGAGTAAAACACTGCCTACATTGCGAAGGCTTGTGGGGAGTCAAACACTGCCTACGTTGTGAGGCTTGTGTGGAGTCAAACACTGCCTACATTGCGAGGGCTTGTGTGGAGTCAAACTGCCTACATTGTGAGGGCTTGTGTTGAGTCAAACACTGCCTACATTGCGAGGGCTTGTGTGGAGTCAAACACTGCCTACATTGCGAGGGCTTGTGTGGAGTCAAACACTGCCTACATTGCGAGGGCTTGTGTGGAGTCAAACACTGCCTACATTGGGAAGGTTTGTGTGGAGTCAAACACTGCCTACATTGCGAGGGCTTGTGTGGAGTCAAACACTGCCTACATTGCGAAGGCTTGTGTGGAGTCAAACACTGCCTACATCGCGAGGGCTTGTGTGGAGTCAAACTCTGCCTACATTGCGAAGGCTTGTGTGGAGTCAAACTCTGCCTACATTGCGAGGGCTTGTGTGGAGTCAAACACTGCCTACATTGCGAGGGCTTATGTGGAGTCAAACACTGCCTACATTGCGAAGGCTTGTGGGGAGTCAAACACTGCCTACGTTGTGAGGCTTGTGTGGAGTCAAACACTGCCTACATTGCGAGGGCTTGTGTGGAGTCAAACTGCCTACATTGTGAGGGCTTGTGTTGAGTCAAACACTGCCTACATTGCGAGGGCTTGTGTGGAGTCAAACACTGCCTACATTGCGAGGGCTTGTGTGGAGTCAAACACTGCCTACATTGCGAGGGCTTGTGTGGAGTCAAACACTGCCTACATTGGGAAGGCTTGTGTGGAGTCAAACACTGCCTACATTGCGAGGGCTTGTGTGGAGTCAAACACTGCCTACATTGCGAAGGATTGTGTGGAGTCAAACACTGCCTACATCGGGAGGGCTTGTGTGGAGTCAAACTCTGCCTACATTGCGAAGGCTTGTGTGGAGTCAAACACTGCCTACATTGCGAGGGCTTGTGTGGAGTCAAACACTGCCTACATTGCGAGGGCTTGTGTGGAGTCAAACTCTGCCTACATTGCGAGGGCTTGTGTGGAGTCAAACACTGCCTACATTGCGAGGGCTTGTGTGGAGTCAAACTCTGCCTACATTGCGAGGGCTTGTGTGGAGTCAAACACTGCCTACATTGCGAGGGCTTGTGTTGCTTTATTACGCTGAACGATTTCGATGATTTCGTATTCTTGACTTTAGTTTTTTAAGTGAATAAATAAGTACTCTGGAAAGTTAGTGTTTTTGTCATATGTCTTTGCAAGAATAAATTTCAATATGTTTTGCGTGTATGTACCGGTATGAACATCGGTATTCACGATTACACCCCCATCAACGTAAAACAATTTTAACGTCATTTCTTAACCTTCACTGACTGCATGAACGAGTATTGTAATAATCATCTCAAGTTCACCTAGTCATCAGGGGAACACCTCATTTAAAGGTTCCATCCCATTTGAGGATACCCCAGTGGCTAGACGGTGGAGTAGAGATGACTTGGCAAAACAAATGAGATTTACCTGTTGTGGCAATGGACTAGTCCTAACAGACTTAATCCTCTGTATAATTGAGAGCAAATTAATAAAGACCTTTGAAGTTACTGGGGTAAAGTACAATGTAAGTGATCTAATCCGCAATAGAATTATATGTTGTTTCATTTTCTACCCGTATAAATTTAACTAATGAACCATTTGATCATGAAAAAAACCTTCAATTTGTAAGTTCTCACCTCGGCTTCTGTTGAGAATATTGAATTTTCAGAATGTCAATGTTTGCATCCATTGTCACAAACAAGTTGACTTTCAACATCACCTTGACAGCAACAACATTCGGTAATATAGACACACGCTTTCGTCACAAATTGAGTTGATAAATATATTTGTCTTGGTATAATTATTATAACCTATGTTAATCAACCTTTATAAATTTATCAATTAAGTTTTATAATGTTCATATTTCTAAAGTGTTTCGTTGTATATGAAATAAAGAATATATGAGAAAAGCAAACTTGGAACTAATAACATCCAAAGTGAGAAGTAGAATCAACTTGAAAAAATGTGTTTTATAATTTAATATCGATAGTGTTGATACTCAAATGTGAAAATTGTTTACATAAAAGAACAGGGCATGTTTTTGTGAGAGACAACACCTTGCCATTATCTGTAGTAGGATCCGATTACGAGATTATGTGTTCACTGGAGATGCGTCATTAAGACATGTTTGTTTGTTTGTTTGTTGTTTAAAGCCGCACTCAGCAATATTCGTGCTATATGACGGCAGTCACTCTAGTAGTCGGTTCCCAAGTGCTGAAGGGTGTACCTTGATGTTGTAATACATTAAACTTTGTGGAATTATGTATGTGGGTTTGGAAACCTATGTAGCACAATGAAAGTATTTTCATTCATTTCTGGTAAGCCTTATATTCTCATGGGGTGTCTGACAAATTCGATATGGTCGGGACCAATCCATTTTACCATTTGGGTAACAAGCATTGGATAGTGGGAGAACTCAACCGTGGCATTTGTGATTTGAAGGTATCTAACAAGTTAGATGAGACTGGTAAAACCCTTCAGGTGTTCCATGTGTACTCCATCGCAACAAGAGCCATTGCCTGACATTCAAGGCGTGTCTGTCTGTCTGTCCTCATCCGTGTCTGTCCGGGGTTTAATAGCCCGGTAATACATCTGACCACGGTGTACAACTACAGTATCTGGTGACCACGGTGTGACGCTGACACGCCGGCTCATGTCACAGTGTCCTTGTTTGTGCGGTATCCAGCACGCGCTAATTGGCATGGAGACCCCGGTATCTCAAACACAGCAGCAAGAAAACTTCGATTTCCACCCGTTTAAACACATTCAGAAGATTTATATCGCAATCTAGCCTCGGCACCTAGCATTAAAGTCCAGGGTCTCGCATTAACGACTTGCAACTGAGGGCGAGATTATACGCCTGCATTGTGTGATTATTAGTATGTGATAATTAGTATTTAACACATCGGTGTCGGCGCTACAGTTTTATCACATCTCATCCCCGGGGCCTGACAATGTGATGGGTGGACGGCTGCGTGTATATAGGTCCTGATCAGCCCCACCCCCAGGGATCACGGAGTCTACCTGCCACCTTGAACACCTGTAGTCGAGTGCATCCTCGGGACGAAGCAGGGACACCCACTTCATCTGCAGGTAGGACTTGAGTTTTATTACAAGAATAATCTTGGAAGCGCTGCGTATTCTGAACCTATGTACTTGTTGCCTCAGTTGCAATACATAGATCACCATCATTATCCTTTTGTTATATGTTTGGGATGTAAAGATATCCGAGTGCGAAACTGGCACCTCCGGAAGCGCTCGGTAAATCTCCAACATCATCATAATCATCATCATCATCATCAGATAAGTCACGATATATAGCGGTACTTATTAACATTCTGCATGGTTGACATCAGTATGTCCCAGCACAGGTGCAGCCTGCATCAACACGCCACGGAGACACGCCCTCCCTGGCCTGGTTCTACAAAGCGAGATTAGCTCTAGAACCGACTAACACAGTCTGTGTTTAAGTATGGTAACTGCAACACATGTCTGGAACGAGGCGGATCCCGGGTGTGTGTGTGTGAGGGGGGTGGGGGGGTGGGGGGGGTGGGGTGGGGGGGGGGGGGGGGGTGGGGGGGTGACGTGATGACATAGCCTTGATCTCTGTTGACAGAAGGCTATTTCATCCCATCCACGTACCATGAACTCATCAAGTAATAGTTCTTCCAACCTCTCCACATGTAGGATAGTTGTTACTGGTAATCCTACCACACAGGATTATCGTGTTAACGATGCAGTCTTGTGTGACCGCGGTACAAGGATCTGTACCCGAACTGACTTTCCCCCCATGACCCTATCAGCGGCGGAACAGACACAATCAATGCACCAACATCTACATGTACATATGAATATGCATGGTTTACATACAAAACATCTTTGCCGAGCAGGTATGCATATAGATTCAAATTCACTGACGTAACAATATATATGTGCAATTAAATAGAGACAGATTTACTTGACAGGTTTAAACACTGTCATGGTGCTTTTACAAAACTTGGACAATTTTCTCAATGTTCCTTCTCGTGGATTATTGAGTTCATTGACACATATTGGGTCTAATGTAGTCATTTCTGTCAATAAAAATGTTTTCTGTCGTTTTCTAAAGATGGACAAATAAACAAATAATGGAATTCATCACTATGCCAGATAGTTTACAAAGTGGACACTTTCTGTCGGGTAACGTTATGTTCTCCACCAAGACGTCCATACCGTCACTATTACAGGAGAATAAACAAGCCATTATCCATAAAGATATTGTCTATTTTGACAACACAAGGGTTATTACATCTGTGTGGGTACAAACACGTGTAGTACTCTCATGCCACTTAACGCAGTGCCAGTATCCAAGATAAGGGAATTCAATTTCTTTACAAAAATAATCATTGTATTGAACTTCCAAGTGCATCCGGAATATGATGCTCGGAGAGCGGAAGACACCAGACCAGGACCGTGTCTCCTGCAGGTCTAATGACACGGCTCGTATCGATGTCTCCCATTTAATTACACAGCAAACACGTCCTACTTTCATTACTTCATCTCTCGATGCTTTATAATTGATTTCAAACTCAGCATTTCATCATACATTTATTATAGGGCGAACTGTGGCGCCATCAGATTTAACTGAAGGAACAGAGAACTGGAAAAGACGATGTCCCCACGTTCATCGACCGATTGCTTGTCACTGTTCCCCGATATAGGGACTGATTGCTTGTCACTGTTCCCCGATATAACCGATTGCTTGTCACTATTCCCCGATATAATGACTGATTGCTTGTCACTGTTCTCCGATATAGCGACCGATTGCTTGTCACTGTTCCCCGATATAGGGACCGATTGCTTGTCACTGTTCCCCGATATAGTGACTGATTGATTGTCACTGCTCCCCGATATAATGACTGATTGCTTGTCACCATTCCCCGATATAATGACTGATTGCTTGTCACCATTCCCCGATATAATGACTGATTGCTTGTCACTGTTCCCCGATATAGGGACTGATTGCTTGTCACTGTTCCCCGATATAACCGATTGCTTGTCACTATTCCCCGATATAATGACTGATTGCTTGTCACTGTTCTCCGATATAGCGACCGATTGCTTGTCACTGTTCCCCGATATAGCGACCGATTGCTTGTCACTGTTCCCCGATATAGTGACTGATTGATTGTCACTGCTCCCCGATATAATGACTGATTGCTTGTCACCATTCCCCGATATAATGACTGATTGCTTGTCACTGTTCCCCGATATAGGGACTGATTGCTTGTCACCATTCCCCGATATAGTGACTTATTGCTTGTCACTGTTCCCAGATATAGTGACTTATTGCTTGTCACTGTTCCCCGATATAGAGACTGATTGCTTGTCACCATTCCCCGATATAATGACTGATTGCTTGTTACTGTTCCCAGATATAGTGACTAATTGCTTGTCACCATTCCCCGATATAATGACTGATTGCTTGTCACTGTTCCCCGATATAATGACTGATTGCTTGTCACCATTCCCCGATATAATGACTGATTGCTTGTCACCATTCCCCGATATAATGACTGATTGCTTGTCACTGTTCCCCGATATAGGGACTGATTGCTTGTCACCATTCCCCGATATAGTGACTTATTGCTTGTCACTGTTCCCAGATATAGTGACTTATTGCTTGTCACTGTTCCCCGATATAGTGACTGATTGATTGTCACCATTCCCCGATATAATGACTGATTGCTTGTTACTGTTCCCCGATATAGGGACTGATTGCTTGTCACCATTCCCCGATATAATGACTGATTGCTTGTCACTGTTCCCCGATATAATGACTGATTGCTTGTCACCATTCCCCGATATAATGACTGATTGCTTGTCACTGTTCCCCGATATAGGGACTGATTGCTTGTCCCCATTCCCCGATATAGTGACTTATTGCTTGTCACTGTTCCCAGATATAGTGACTTATTGCTTGTCACTGTTCCCCGATATAGGGACTGATTGCTTGTCACTGTTCCCAGATATAATGACTGATTGCTTGTCACTGTTCTCCGATATAGGGACTGATTGCTTGTCACCATTCCCCAATATAGTGACTTATTGCTTGTCACTGTTCCCCGATATAGTGACTTATTGCTTGTCACTGTTCCCCGATATAGGGACTGATTGCTTGTCACCATTTCCCGATATAATGACTGATTGCTTGTTACTGTTCCCAGATATAGTGACTAATTGCTTGTCACTGTTCCCCGATATTGGGACTGATTGCTCATCACTGTTCCCCTTTATAGGGACTGATTGCTTGTCACCATTCCCCGATATAGTGACCGATTGCTTGTCACTGTTCCCCGATATAGGGACTGATTGCTCGTCACTGTTCCCCGATATAGGGACTGATTGCTCGTCACTGTTCCCAAAAATAGGGACTGATTGCTTGTCACTGTTCCCCGTGGAGGGACTGATTGCTTGTCATTGCTCCCAAAAAGAGGGACTGATTGCTTGTTACTGTTCCCCGATATAGGGACTGATTGCTTGTCACTGTTCCCCGATATAGGGACTGATTGCTCGTCACTGTTCCCCGTTATAGGAACTGATTGCTTGTCACTGTTCTCCGATATAGGGACTGATGGCTTGTCACTGTTCCCAGATATAGTGACTAATTGCTTGTCACTGTTCTCCGATATAGTGACTTATTGCTTGTCACTGTTCTCCGATATAGGGACTGATTGCTCGTCACTGTTCCCCGATATAGGGACTGATTGCTTGTCACTGTTCCCCGATATAGCGACTGATTGCTTGTCACTGTTCCCCGATATAGCGACTGATTGCTTGTCACTGTTCCCTGATATAGCGACTGATTGCTTGTCACTGTTCTCCGATATAGGGACTGATTGCTCGTCACTGTTCCCCGATATAGGGACTGATTGCTCATCACTGTTCCCCGATATAGGGACTGATTGCTCATCACTGTTCCCCGATATAGGGACTGATTGCTCATCACTGTTCCCAGATATAGGGACTGATTGCTCATCACTGTTCCCCGATATAGGGACTGATTGCTCGTCACTGTTCCCCGATATAGGGACTGATTGCTCATCACTGTTCCCCGATATAGCGACTGATTGCTTGTCACTGTTCTCCGATATAGGGACTGATTGCTTGTCACTGTTCCCTGATATAGCGACTGATTGCTTGTCACTGTTCCCTGATATAGGGACTGATTGCTTGTCACTGTTCCCCGATATAGCGACTGATTGCTTGTCACTGTTCCCTGATATAGGGACTGATTGCTTGTCACTGTTCCCCGATATAGTGACTTATTGCTTGTCACTGTTCCCCGATATAGGGACTGATTGCTCATCACTGTTCCCAGATATAGGGACTGATTGCTTGTCACTGTTCCCCGATATAGCGACTGATTGCTTGTCACTGTTCCCTGATATAGGGACTGATTGCTTGTCACTGTTCCCCGATATAGTGACTTATTGCTTGTCACTGTTCCCCGATATAGGGACTGATTGCTCATCACTGTTCCCCGATATAGCGACTGATTGCTTGTCACTGTTCCCAGATATAGGGACTGATTGCTCGTCACTGTTCCCCGATATAGTGACTAATTGCTCGTCACTGTTCTCCGATATAGGGACTGATTGCTCATCACTGTTCCCAGATATAGTGACTAATTGCTCGTCACTGTTCCCCGATATAGTGACTAATTGCTCGTCACTGTTCCCCGATATAGTGACTAATTGCTCATCACTGTTCCCAGATATAGGGACTGATTGCTTGTCACTGTTCCCCGATATAGTGACTAATTGCTCATCACTGTTCCCAGATATAGTGACTAATTGCTCGTCACTGTTCCCCGATATAGGGACTAATTGCTCGTCACTGTTCCCCGATATAGTGACTAATTGCTCGTCACTGTTCCCCGATATAGGGACTGATTGCTCATCACTGTTCCCCGATATAGGGACTGATTGCTTGTCACTGTTCCCTGATATAGCGACTGATTGCTTGTCACTGTTCCCTGATATAGGGACTGATTGCTTGTCACTGTTCCCCGATATAGCGACTGATTGCTTGTCACTGTTCCCCGATATAGG